ACAATGACAACAACAACAAACTCAACACACAACAACGACAATGACAAAAACAACAACTGCAAAAGAAACAACTACAAAAACAACAACAATGACAAAAAAAATAATGACAAAAACAACTACGATGACAAAAACAACAATGACAACAACAACAAACTCAACACACAACAACGACAATGACAACAACAACAATGACAACAACAACAAACTCAACACACAACAACAACAATGACAAAAAAACAATGACAAAAACAACTACGATGACAAAAACAACAACTACAAAAACAACAATGACAACAACAACAATGACAACAACAACAAACTCAACACACAACAACAACAATGACAACAACAACCACAACAAAGACAAAATCAACATCAACAACTGCAAAAACAACAACAATGACATAACAATGACATCAACCACAACAAAGACGAAATCAACAACCGCAAAAACAACAACAATGAGAACGACAATGACAAAAACAACAACTGCAAAAGAAACAACTACAAAAACAACGACAATGACAAAAATTACAACAATAATGACGATGACAGCGACAACAGATAAGATAATGATAACAACAACCACATCAACTACAAAAACTTTAACATTGACGATGACAACAACCACAACAACTACAACAACAATGACAAAAAAAACAATGACAAAAACAACAATGACAACAACAACAACTACAAAAACAACAATGACAACAACAACAATGACAACAACAACAAACTCAACACACAACAACGACAATGACAACAACAACAACAACAATGACAACAACAACCACAACAAAGACAAAATCAACATCAACAACTGCAAAAACAACAACAATGACATAACAATGACAACATCAACCACAACAAAGACGAAATCAACAACCGCAAAAACAACAATGAGAACGACAATGACAAAAACAACAACTGCAAAAGAAACAACCACAAAAACAACAACAATGACAATGACAAAAATTACAACAATAATGACGATGACAGCAACAACAGATAAGATAATGATAACAACAACCACATCAACTACAAAAACTTTAACATTGACGATGACAACAACAACCACAACAACTACAACAACAATGACAAAAAAAACAACTACGATGACAAAAACAACAACTACAAAAACAACAACTACAAAAACAACAATGACAACAACAACAAACTCAACACACAACAACGACAATGACAACAACAACCCTTAACTTATTCATTAATGTTTTCATAGATTTATTCACTGAGGAGATTTAACCTCATGAACTAACCCCGTTAATGCAACCAATACATCTTCACAGTGTGTGTGTGTGTGTGTGTGTGTGTGTGTGTGTGTTTGTGTGTGTGTGTGTGAGTGTGACAGGAGCGCAGGTGAGTCACAAAGTTTATTGTACTGTGAAATTTGACAGAAATCACACTGACTCATTACACACACACGCACACACGCTCAGGTCTAGCTCTGCTTCAGTGGAGCAGCTGACGTGAACATGAAGGTGAAGTTGTGTTTATCTTCATGTGGGACAGCTGCAGCTCAGTCAGCTGATGCACAGTGTTAATGATGAAGATGGTGATGATGAAGAGGAGGAGGAGGAGAACGAGCAGACATGCAGAGAAGCTGACACAGCATCAGGTTAATATTTCATCTGTTTCCATCTGCAGTCAGTGAAATTATGTTGTGAGAAGTTTCAGCAAATGTTCCCATACAAGATTTATGAGCGCTGAGGTGAACCGAACTCAGACCGACAGTGAATGCACCACGCCGAGAACAAGCTTCATCTGATTGAAGAAAAAAACACTTCATCTCACATACACACACCCTTCTTTTTTCTGCACGTCGTTGTCTACATTTGTGAATTTACGACTTTTATTTCCTCCATATCAAAGTTCATAAAGTTCTCTTTTACGTATTCTGTAATACTGATATGAGCCTGCGGGGGGCAGCAGTGCAGAGGTACAAACAGGTTTGTGTCAGAATAATTTGGCGTTTCAAGGTCATGGTTTGTTGCATCAGTCTGCAGTCACGTTGCGGTTTTGATCGATGATTTGTCTCGGTGTTTATCATGAGAAAAGTATCTTGGATCTCCTCCCTGCAGGAACAGCTGTGTGGTATCACTAACTGTTCAGTGGGCCGGTCTCGGTACCGTGAAAACATCTGTGATCAAAGCTGAGGAAATGCAGATCTCAGGGGCGGCAGCAGCGGCCTTGTTTGTTGATTGGTTGTTGTTTGAAGTTTCTCAGCTGCAGTGAGGGTGAAGGGTTTGACGTTTGGTTGTTTGTTTGGTTATTTTTAGAGTTTCTTGGCGTCAGTGTTTCCTCTCAGCTGTCTGTTTCCATTACATCACTCTCCTCCACCTAGTCTGAACATGTCCAACTCAGCACTTTGTTATCAACTCACATGCTAGCATCCACCCTCCCATCTGTGTGTGTGTGTGTGTGTGTGTGTGTGTGTGTGTGTGTGTGTGTGTGTGTGTGTGTGTGTGTGTGTGTCAAACACAGTTAAACTCGCACACTTGGACTCTTTGATGCTGTTTTTTCCCATATATCCTGGTTCAGGTTCACATCCTGCTGAGTCCGATTTACAGGTTTGTTTGTTCAGTTCACAGTGACAGACTGAGGGGGTATTCCACGAAGCTGACGAAAGAAGGCTGGGCTATCGCCGGTGAGCCCGGCTTGAATAAGCGGCCACTTTAATCTTAGCTGCGACTCGTTCCACTAACATGGCTCAGCTGTTTTTCAGAGACGTTTATTCTAGCCAGGCTGATCCAAGCTGCGGCTATGCACGCCTACGCGGTACATAAAAGCCCTGGCGTATCGACTGTCGAAATGACGAGATCATGGAAAAAAAAAGCAGAGCGGAGTCTTTCTCAGCGGCGGAGCAAACACTCCTCATGGAGTTGTACGAAGAGTACAAGGGAAAATTTCAAAAGAAGGGCAACACAGTTGCCATTGTGAAAGACAGGGAGATGGCGTGGTAAAGTATCGCGGACCGTTTAGATTCGTAAGTTATAGCCGACAAATATTTTACTACTGACGCATGTCTCGATGCAGTCAGCCTGCTTGGCTGTCTAATTTTATTCCTCACTTCTGCGTATGTACTGTAAACACTTTTTAAAAAAACTTTTCATCTCGTGTATGTGCAGCTCACTCATACAGTCTGTCAGCCTCTGTGCAGCACCCTCACAGCAAGCAGGGGCACCAATTTGACAAGAGTTAATACAAAACCGCTTTGCGGTGCAGATTTATTATTATTATTATTATCTTTTTTCTTTCTTCTTTTTAAGTGCTTGTGCCCCCCCCCCCCCCCCCCCATGAGTCATGACACAAATGCCCCCCCGGGCGGCTGCCCGGTTCGCCCATGCCTAGAACCGCTACTGCACTGTAGGCATAATTCATGTTCTTGATTTGACAAATAGATATCCATAATGGATTGGTATAGCAACAACAGGTAAGACCTAAAACCGAAGTAGACAAGCTTAGACAAAAAGTGAAGAAAAACATGTACCTGGAGATGTCTTTTTTTTTCTTTTTCTTTTTTTTTTATATGGGATGATAGTGGCACAGCGCCCTTCATTTAAATAAGGGAGAAGACACTAATGAGCTTGTACACAGAGTAGTCATGTCGTCATTTGCCATCACCTTTACATTATCATCATCATAATCAGAATGGACCACTGGTGAAAGGTTTTTTTAATGGGAAAGTGTTGCTGTTGTCGCCTTCAGTGTTTTGGATGAGATCGTTTGTGCCTTTATTCTGTTATGTGTTGACAGTACATTGAGAGTCACAGAAAAAAAGAAAGAAAATCAGATATTTCGCGCTGGCTGAGTTACCATGGTTACCAAGCCACGCTAGCCCTAAGCCTCGTTTGTGGAACCGAACTCTCACTAAAATTAGCCAAGCTAACCGAAATAAGCCAGGCTTTGAGCTAAGCCAGCTTTGTGAAATACCCCCTGGGTCTCTGAGCAACGCCAACAACAAAGACAACAACAACAATGTCAGTAACAAAAACAACAACAACAATTACAACGACAGTAACAAAAACAACAACAATGACAACAATGACAACAGAGACAACTACGACGACATTAACATTGACAACAAGATAGACGACAACAACAACAATCACAACTACTAAAACGACATTAACAACAACAATGTCAACAGAAATCACAACAATGACAACAACAACTACAACCACATTTACAATACCAACAACAAAGACGACAACAACAACAATGACAATAAAAACAACAGAGAAAAGACAAAAACATTTTAAAAAAACATGCAAAGACAACAACAATGACCACAACGACAACAGAGACAACTACAACGAGTACGACGGCATAAACAATAGCAACAACAGTGACAATGACAACGTGTTAACGTGTCAATTTCCACTGGTGTCTTTCTGTTCCACTGCCGGTCGCAGGACTCCACAGCTGATCGCAGGAGTCCTTTTTTTCTGTACGCCGGAGGATGCCGGATAAATTCAGCACAGATTAACCCGTGCTGGAAAGGAAGTCGGGCACAGACACAAGATAAAACATCCGGCTTCTTTTCAAAATAAAACACTTTGTGTTCAGGGGGATCGTATTTCACACCATGCAAACAGGCGGAGAAAAACAAGTGAAAGGTTTTTCGACGTCATTTCACCCCGATGACACCATGGATGAGGAGATGCTGATTCTAGAAGTCTAGAAGTAAATTTCCTCCTCTGGAAGGACACAATCTACTGCTTTCTATGTCTATGTGGCTGTCTCTATAGAGACAACTCCTTATTGCACATTTGCACGTGAATCCGCAGGTTCTTGTGAGTTTGTGCGATTCATGCTGTCCGTAATCCGCTACGAATTTCACCTCACAAACAGATCTGGTAGACATTGGGGGATGGCGAAAATTGCTGTCGTTCCGGATGCAGTCTAAATTGGGGGTAAGGATGTTTTTCTATGAGCGGACCCCGCGGACATGAAAACTCGGAACTACCTTTCCTCTCCTCCTCCTCCTCCTCCTCCTCCTCCTCGTCTTCCTCGTTTGCTCTCTGAAGCAGCTGTGTGTTCAGCTGAGCAGAGAGAAGAAACCTCAATTATTAAATCTCCAACACATTTATTATTACACAGCTGGAGGAGGGGGAAGAAGAGGAGGAGGAGGTGGAGAAGAAGGAGTTGAAGTCCTCAGATCAGTCTCATAAAAGGGTCAGTCTGTTATTTTTAAAATTCTTTGGTTCTGTCAGGCCAGGTGAACCTCATCTCAAAGTTCAGATTTCCAGACTCCCCTGAACGCATCACGAATACAGAAAAGTGTTCATCAATCGAACTCCATATTAGATCTAAATGGTAACTGGGTTATGACTGGTTCTTCTTGACCATGTGACCCCCTCTTTCTCTCTCTGCAGCGCCCTCCCTGATGTCTCACCGCTTCGTGACAGTGCGACGGGGCAGCCCAGCGGCGCGCAGCGGACAGATTCAGCCAGGAGACCAGCTGGAGGCAGTGGAGGGTCGACCCGTGGGAGGACTGCAGCACCGAGACCTGGCCCAGATCCTGAGGAGGGCGGGAAACACGCTGAGACTGAGCATCACCCCCCGACACACACGTATGAGGACACACACACAAACACACACACAGACATGTAGGAGGACACATACACACACACATATGAAGACACACACACACCTCACACACACTCATACACACACATACACACCCCACGACACACACATATAAGGACACACACACTCATACACACACAAACACATACGTATGAAGACACACACATGGGAGGGGACACACACACATAGGTCCATGTAGATTCTCATTCATCCAGAGGCCTGTACTACGAAGCTGGATTTGGTCTTAGCGAGATAACTTCTGGATAACTTCTGGGTTTTCCGTACTACGAAGGTGGATCTCTTTTTATCCGGGTCCGTTGCCCCGGTAACTTACGCGGAACGGCAAACCTGCTCCGTAGCAGGTTATGTTTCAGGATAAGATCTCAGCAGGTATAAAAAACCGCCCACTGACCAATCGGATCTCTTGGAAAATGGCTTGCCCACTTTTGCCGGATCCCGGGGACATCGTTGCACGGATAGTGAGAGGAGCGCTTCGCCGAGAGCGTTATATTCATGATTGTTCAAACCCGTTTGATTTACCTGATGATGTTCTATATGAACGTTACAGGTTTTCCTCGGACGGCCTCAATATTCAGGTAGCATGAAGTCTAAGCAATACACTAATATTTGCCAAGCTCCAGGTTCCAATTTCATGCGGCATATCAGTCATCATTCAGAATTTATTGAAGCAGATTAGAAAACTCTTAACCCCAAATGTGTCTGCAGATGACGTGACCATCAGATGATGGAGAAAAAAAGGCAGTGTGAGGAAATCACTGTTCACGCGTTGAAATATGTACAAATAAAATCTTCCAATAAACTTACAAACTACTTTAAAGGATGTTTTTAGATTTATTTTTATTTGCTCCCACGTACTCTTTTCCCCACTGCTGTTGTATCTGAAATAATGAGGTCATTGATGGAGGTGATCACACACGCTGCATGACAACAGATTAGGGGGCCAAAAATGTATGAACGCACAAATGTAATTTACACAACCGGTGATTTTTTTGCCAGCAGTCCCTCCGGCTTTTAGCGGCTGTGGCTGTCCTGCTCCTCACTGTTATAATGTCGCGGTACTCCTCGTAAAACAATGCTCTGTTCCTCGGCTGTGAAATATGACGTGCAGCCTTCTCCATTGTGGAGATTGGTCCGGTGGCACTGACCCCACCCCCTTTACGTGTGCGCGCACAGATCTGAAGTGACCACACCTGGATTCAGTTATCAAGTTGATAACCGGCTTTGTAGTACAGCTGATCGCGATCGCGGATATCCGGTGAAGTTGAGCGAGTTGTCGCAGAGTTATCCTGGATGTGTTAATCCAGCTTCGTAGTACAGGCCTCAGGTCATAGATTTCTTGAAGACTCCAAACTGGACTGTGTAGAGTTGAGAAGACGTTTCGCCTCTTATCCAAGAAGCTTCTTCAGTTCTAAATATTGCTAGTGTGAGGAGCAGATATTTATCTTACTGTAGAAGGGGACAGACAATGACTGGGAGGAGTTGGAAAGAGCGGGTCGTAGAAACCCATCTCCGGGTATCTCCCCTCCCCGAGAGTCGTTAACCTGGAAGGGTAGTTAACGACCCCTGTCATGTGGTCCCAGGTGTGAATGTTTGTGGACCTTCCTGTGGAGAAAGCTGAGAACTGCATTGTAAGCGCGGGAGAGATTGTGCCTGAGTCCACCCCCTCTGTTCAGAGAAGGTTTCTCCAGTCTGGTAAAGATGGCTTCTTTAACTCCTCTTTCAAACCATCTGTCTTCTCGAGCCAACACCTGTTCATCGCTGTCCTCGAAAGAGTGACCCATGTCCTTTAAGTGAAGGTGGAGAGCTGAGTCCTGACCTGAGGAAGTGGCTCTCGGAAGCGGTTGTTTAGTTTCCACAATGTACAGGTCCGAGCACTCCTCGCTGCACTGGACAGAATACATCACATTACCCTGTTTATGTCTCGGTGTTTTGTCCTTGGGATGGACTAGCTTCTGCCTTAGTGTGTTACCAGGCTTGAAATGAACAGTGTTTGCCAAAGATCCTTTTGAGTTTTTCCGACAGGCCTGCAACATAAGAGATTACAGTGCTCTTACAGCGTCTCTCCTCCCTTTCCTGTTCAGTGTTATTTCTCTTTCTGTTCTTCACAAAGGCCCACTTAGGGTATCCACAGGTTGTCAGGCCATTTTTGGTGTGCTTCTGTTCCTTTTCCTTACCTTCTTTCTTTGTGGGAATGTTTTCAGCCCGGTGGTTGAGTGTTCTGATGACACCCAGTTTTTGCTGCAGAGGATGGTGGGAATCAAAAAGTAAATATTGATCCGTGTGTGTGGGTTTCCTGTACACTTCAATGTTGAGACACCCATCTGCCTCCAAGTGCACCTGGTACCACATGACCCAGGTGGTTCCTCCTCCCAGTCGTTGTCTGTCCCCTTCTCCAGTAAGATAAATATCTGCTCTTCACACGAGCAATATTTAGAACTGAAGAAGCTTCTTGGATAAGAGGCGAAACGTCTTCTTAACTCTACACAGTCCAGTTGCCTGATTTTGGAGTCTTCAAGAAAACACACACACACACGCACACACACACACACACTCACACTCACACTCACACACACACACACACACACATACATACACACACACACCCACACACACTCTACAGGCTCTCTTCTCTGTTTCTGTTTTTGTTCTCTTCCCTGTTTCCTCCTCTCATCTCCTTCACTTGTCTCCTAACATCCTTTTTTTTAACTCCTTTCCTTGCCTCCTATCTTCCTGTCCATACTTGTTTCCTTGTTTCCTTTTTATCCTCTTTGCCTTCATATTACCTGACTCTCATCCTTGTTTCCTTTCCTTGTCCTTTGTTTGTTTCCTCTGTTTTCCACAGCTCGCCTTTTCTCTCCTTGTGTCCTCCCTTTCCTTGCCTCCTATTTTTCTGTCCCTACCTAGTTCCTTATTTCCTTGGTTCATTTTTCCCCTCTTTGCCTTCTTATTGCCTAACTCTCATCCTTGTTTCCTTTCCTTGTCCTTTGTTTGTTTCCTTTTTCTCCTTGTGTCCTATCTGTGTTTCCTTCACTTGTCTCATTGCCTCCTTCTCCCTTCCTCCCCCTCTCCTGTCCTTGTTTCCTTTATCTCCTTGTTGCCTGCTCACCTCTCCTTGTCTCCTCCCCTCAGAGTCGTCCGCTCTGTCAGAGGAAGCAGACTTGGACACTGATGGTCGGTTGATGAAGGGATCCAGAGGAAGGTCAAAGGTCAGTGTGACGCTCACTGTGTGTGTGTGTGTGTGTGTGTGTGTGCACCAACTGTAACACAGTAACCCCCCCCCCCCCCCCCTTTGTCCCCCTCAGGATGAGTCTAGGTTCTACAGCGTGGATCTGGAACGAGGTCCCACAGGGTTTGGTTTCTCTCTGAGGGGGGGCAGTGAGTACAACATGGGGCTGTATGTGCTGGGACTGATGGAGGGGGGGCCGGCCCAACGTAGCAACAAGATACAGGTACACACACACACACACACATACACACATACACACACATGTTGTTGTATTAACTGTGTAACGTGAATAAGATTTACCTGACTGCAGCTCAGCCTGGAAATGTCAGAGTACTGTACATGTGTGAAAACTGCTTTAAAGGGATATTCTGGCGTAAAATTAATTTAGGGTCAAACACACCATAACACCAAGTTAGACCCCCCCCTACAGAGATGACTGTTGCAGACCGCTTGCTTCTCTAGTTATACCAACTTTAGTAACGACCGCCGGATAGCAATACACATAGGCTGTTTTGGCTGAGTGAGATCTTGTTGGTTCGTTCCACTTCAGTGGGGCAACATAAATTGTGATTCATAAAATAGCTCTATTGATAGTAAGTACTAAAAAAAATATCTACTCATGCCATCCTGTCGATTTTTAGTAATCAGTGTTTCGGTGTCGAACTATTTCCTTTCTGCGGTGTAGTGATACTTGCACACGCGCAATCGAATATGCAAAGGGGTGAAGCGATTTTGACAATGTTCCTGATGATGCTGGGTTTCACATGACATGCTACCAGCGATTTATTTGCAAAAGATGTTTGAGAAACAAGAACGTGATGCAGTCGCAGGTCAGTCAAAGCCTTCAGCCAGCATCGCCGATGCATCCATGTCCACGGCATCTGAAGCTCCGCGAAAGAAACTTCGCTCGAGGTCATAGGCTGTATTGGGACAAAGGAAAAAGTGCCTAGAAAGTGAATTTTGTTCAACTACGCTGGTGCTACTTGTTCAATGCATTTTTGCATAGACAATATTATTCTGGACTTTGAGTTAAAATTTCTACTCAGACTATCTGTCAGACTTTTGTCACCAGCCAGAAATGCACATATATGTGAGTAACCCAAAAAGCAATTATATGGTGCTGCTGTTTTTGCTTGTAGAAACTGCTATGTTGATTCTGGCAAGACAAAATCTTTCTCAGATGTCATAAATACATCAACCTAACATCTGAAACAGTTATTGGTGCCTTAGTATACACATAAGTGAATTCAGATTATGAAATGTAGCAAATTTCTTGAAGAAAACATCTTAACTCAAGTGATTTGCACCC